CAAACAATTGAAGGTTTGAAGAGTGCGGAGAAGTGTGTGGGCCAAGCCAAGTGTCTCCTTTTGGCCTGCTTTCCTTTTAGGCCCATGTGCTCTCTAGTGGGTGTGACAAGTAGTTGGCTTCATTTCAAAAAGCCATTCGGCCAAATGGCCCAAGCACCGCACAAAGTTGAGGAATTTTAAGTGGAGCAATTCAAGTGTTGCTCCACAAAAATGTATTGACATCAATCTGATATTAAACAAGTCCAAGCCAATAAGGACAAAGTGAAATTCTCGAGTTTCAATCGTAGATGCACATGGCAGACTCACAATTTATGTCTCTCAATTGTTTAATTCACCAGCCGTGGATGTAAGTTAGCTATTTCTGCATTCTCTAAATTCCCATAAGCTTTCCCCATGCAAGTGCACTATAATCGCATTTCATATGCATACACAAAGTTATTTGTTTACCGACGAGAGCACAATATCCATCTAAGCCAATATTGCGCCACTCAGCAGTATTATTTCAATTCAAACACTCAGCAGCGGGTAATGCAATTTTACAATGACTCTCGGTAACGCATCTTCTGGCATTTTGCCTGTGTTTATGTATTTGGTATTTGTATTTGGTAACTTTTTAACACAATCCCATTGAAAGTTGGCTACATCACCCTTCCTGTGCCTCATGTTCCGCCGAGAGTTTGAAAAGTGCTTTACATTGATGGCTCCCATCATACATTTTACAACCGAAATGGGCGTCTCCCTCCAGGACTTTAATCCCCAACAAAAGAGGGGAAACTCTTTTATCTCCAGAGCTCTGCCAGATAATCGCTGGTAATAATTCATAACCATAAAATATCAATTTCTCGTCTACAGTTTTTGGTTTGCCGCGCATACTCGTACATTCAAATCCTGCAAGTCTGCCAGAAAGGAGCGGAGTGCCATCCGTAGGACTTGGCAGGAGTGACATCAGCACCAGGAGGAGCAACATCGTGGCAGCCATCACAGACAGCCAGACAAGTGTATCGAGGACAAGTGACAGTTATAACGGCAGCAGTTACAGCGCCAAACACAACCAGTCCTTCGGTACATCATCGGAAGATCTACTTGTACATATACAAAATATACAAGGATGTGTGTCGAGAGGAAGGAACAGCTGCAGGATAGCATATGCCCAACAATACAAATGTGCCCCTGATTGGAGTTTGGAGGATTGCGATTTTTCTCTTGCTGCGGCACACACATTCGCAACCCATGCAAAAAAATATAAAAATAAAAACCAGGTGGTATGTTGCCTGAATTATTCATAAGGCGTTTCTCGACCTACTAATTGAGGAGCTGGTTGATCTCGAAGATGTTTTAGGCCAACACAGCGGTTAGAACTTCTACATGAGCGGTAGATGCAAAGTAAATCTAAAGTTATGAAATCCATCCAATAATATGAAGTACTAGTATATCTAAAATTATGAAATATATTATATTTTTTGTGTTTCTTTACCACCGCTGTATATCTATCCTATCGTACGCAATGGCTGATTTGTTTAAATTTCTTTAACAGATATGGTATTCTATAAAATATTCGAGAAGCAGCAACCCAAGCGATGTTAAATCATTACTAATAAAACAGCAGCTGGCCTGGAGGTGCTAAAGAAAGCCAGCCGTGACAGTTACAAAACATTTTACAAGCAATTCAACAGGGACAGGAGCTGAAAGTAGTAGCCAGAAGACACCATCACCAATCCTAGCCAGAGTCAACGATAAAGTTGTCATAGTGCGAAGCGAACAATTCATCAGCGTCAATGTGATAAATTGTACTTCCACCGCACCGAAATTGCTTGAAATTTTTATTCCAAACGCAGGCGGGGCATTGGATGGGAAGAGATGGTACACATCGCCAAGTGGAACAAGATAAATAGCCCCTTCAATTGAAATATAAACAATACAACACTAACATTAAGCATACGCACCGTGAACACAGCGATGTTGGTGATAAGGAACTAAGTGAACTGGCGAGTTACGGCTCGTATAATTAGCACTTTAAGTTGAAATATATTGATTAAACAATCACCTTTCGCTAACACGCATATTATAAATTGTTAAGAATTTAATGCTTGAATACAAATGATAGACCGTGTGTTGCTCATATGATAACTATCTGTTTGATGCCATTCATGACGCATATAAAGTATATGAAAGCCGCAGGGAATAAAAAAGAATCACCGACTGTGAAAACCAAAGTGAGAGCTAATATTGTAAACACAGTAATCAGTAATGAAACGTTTAGGATTATGAAACCGCGCTCTTTGTTTAATTTGCTAACCATAAAAGAAGCAGCTCTTTCTTTTTTTCTAGGATAAAAACTAAGGTAGGGATATTCAAATACTTTTCTTTTTTCTCTTAGTAAATTTCGGTTCATAGGAGTCATATCCAGGGAGCCTTCAACAGAAGCCTTCGAATAAGCTAGATAATTAAGCTTCAAGCTTGAAGGACAGGCACTACGAGTGGCAGTCACACTCAGTCTCCAATGTCTAAAGTCGCGTTTTGTGGCGCCACCAACTAACTAAATGACTGGTTGAGTAGACAACTGACTGATAGACTGACTGACTGGCTAACTGACGGAGACCGCACACAGACTAGTCCCCTAGAACGTTGTGGAAGATTGGAGGATTGGTTTGCCACCTTTGGGAACGAACCACAAAGCGCCTACACCGACTTTGACTGGCAGCTGTTGACTACTGGATGGCTGTCGACCGCATATTCTGTTGTTAACGACTCGTTTTGACATATTGAATTAAAATGCAAAAGAGCCCGGCGCTGCTAAGGAAATTGCAGTCACTCAAAATAGTGGATTCGTCGAAAAATCGAATTTTCAATGCCTATTTGCCATCGCTGCCCATTGACCTTGCCTCTGTGCGTGTTAATCAAATTGTTGGGGAGATTTTCCAAAGGGCTGCCAAGATCATAAGCCTGCATAGAATTTAAATGCAAATGGAAAAATTATTTCTAGCCAATGGAAAACGCAAATGATGCTATTAAAATGCAAACGATTTCTTGTATTTATCTGAGAATTTACACCAGACAGGCAAGGCAGCGTAAGGATAAAATATTCCCCACAATAAGAGAACCACTTGTGTGCTGTTTTTCTTGGGCTATATGATAAGTACATATATTTAAATGTTTGATTTTTTATTTTTAATAAATTGAGAAATTTATGTTTTGTTTCGGTTGAAACACAAACAAATCCTGTAACATTTGGTATTCTTCATATGGCAGTTATTAAAATAAATGACATAATAATATAGCGAACTACCGTTTAAAAAAAGTAATTGCCTTTGTAATTGTTCTTCTTTATGCTTTGCTTTAAATTCTAATTAGGTTCAGGAAAGTAAAATATTTTGTTTTAATTATAAACCTGCCCCAATTTTTTCCCCCATTTTATGGCTGGGTGTGCTGGTTAAGCTGCCATTTCAACTGCAATACCACTTCGACACCACCTGCAATGGTCATTTAGGGTAATAAAACTACCCTAATACTCCCAGCCGCGTGGGTACTTTTTTCAGTTTCGAAATTAATTGAATTGAGGTGGATATATGGTAAAAAAGAGGAAAACCAATTTGAAACTTTGTTTCCAAATGGCAATGGCTATGCCATTTACGAAATTAGCTTAGTTGAAATAAATGTAATAACCATTACACAATTATTATGTCTACTGAAAAAATCGGAGTATCTTTTTAAAGTAATCTTTTGTAATTAAATTACCCCAAATTTTTATCAGGCACCTAAGAAAGCAAAGTAAAATTAAATATACCTAATAATAGTTATGTGGACCTCATGAATCAGTAAAGCGTTCCTTGATTCTTGTTATTCCTCAAACTATGAATGTAATACTTTGGTTTTATAGGTGTATCTAGTGCGGTTTGCCGCAAATTCGAACAAAAAACTCAAGGCAAAAGCACAGTTTCTTTTTATGTTCGCAGGACAATTTATTCATTCGCTTTCATGGGAAAGATGGTAAGTGGGTTTGACTTCTGTTGGATAAACGCCGTAAAATCCTGAAACTCAAATGGCAATAAAAATGAAACTATGCGTTAATTGCAATTCCCAATTGACCACAAAACGAACACGAGCCACAAAATTTCCAACATAAGCTCGACTATGTGCTTTGACAAACGACTGTGGATGTGTGGGTGGCTGTGTGGCAATGTGTGTGTGGGGCGTGGCATAATGTAGCTAATTGCCGTTAGTTATGTTGCCACCCACCAAATTCCGCAATTAATGTATCTTCCTTTAGCGGAAAAATGTGTGTGTCGTGCGGTTAAAAGACCAGGAAATGTTCGTCCTGGAAAAACACAAATTGAGCTACGAGCGTATAAAAGTATGCTACATTTTGTTTGCTAGACTGCGGAATTCCACACTTTCATTTTACAAAAAAAAAATACAATAAAATATTAACAGTCCATACTGCTGAGTTCTTTTCTGTCATTTTGTTAAAAAAAAAAAGTATTAATAATACGCTAAGAAATTAAATGATTTGTTGTCCTGTTTCTGACCATTAACATAAGCGAAATTAAAGACCTATTTTGTGTCCTTCGCATAAACTCGATTTTAAACGTATTAATACTAAAATATTGACAAAGAAAGTGTCAAGCGGGCCGAAAGAGTTGCTAAGCCCGCAATTCAAGTAACAAATTACAATTCAAGTTTCATAAAATCGTAAACTCCTTGCGATATTGGTCATCTTAGCAATAGGTTTACATTTAGGCCACTATTTCTAAGCAATTGCCCTAGACTAAACCTATGTTGTTTCTTCCCTATTTTTGTTTTCCCTTAAATGTTTTTATTAATCACAAACAAAACAAACTAAGAATATGCCACGTTACTAAAATTGGCTTGGCAACCCAATCTCATTAAGTCAGAAAAATATACAAATGTTATAGTAAATATTTTCGAAATAAAACAGTGATTCCATAAACACTGGCGTGGTCGCAAAAGGTGGATGTACAAAGGGGTCCAGGAATTTGGCAATGAATCGAAACTTAACATTTTGCCAAAAGTATCGGCTACTACTATGGAAGGACTTCAAACTACAACTTGCCAATGTGGTAGAATTAGCTATGATAATTTTCCTTTCTGCTTTAATGCCCATCATTTTTACTATTGGCACAAAAGTAGCAAAATCAGTATTTCCCCCAGATATAGAAATAGGAAAGAATCCCGGCCCGAAAAGTGTCAACACGAGTTTGTAAGTAAATATTTAATTAAGGCCTACATGTCCTAACATTATTTTATCTAGATTTGAAGATTTATATTTTACACCTAATAATGGGATACTTGAGCAACTAATAACCCAGCTTGCAAATATTTCCGACTTTAAAAATGTCGAAGTGTATGACTCCAACACTGAACTCTACTTGCGTTTGATAGCCAACAAAAAAGCAATCGGGATTGCGTTCCCAAGTGAATGGCATGACATAAAAGCCTGTCCGGAAGTGCTGAATATAACCATATTTCTGCCGTTATGCATTAAAAGAAAGGATTTCAAATATTTCGAATCGGGCTTTTTATTGCTTCAAGAGCGTATGTCCAAAATATTCATATATTTTAAGAATGCTGGCATTGAGAACATTCCCCGTGTTCTGATGAATCATTTTCCATACCCCCTATATGTGCCCAATCATTATGCGGAGTCGGCAAAGGCCATGACCTACATGACCCTGACATCGTTTTTTCTTCCCTGCATCACAATTGCCAAGGTATGATAAACAAACTACGTACATTAATAAAATCCCTAAAGCTCTTTTGTTGCAAAGTATGTAGTAGCTGAAAAGGAGCGCCAGCAAAAAGCTATTCTAAACGCAATGGGATTTAGTAATAGTATTCACTGGCTGGCCTGGTACACCAAATCAATGTTGCTTATGATGCTATGTGTGATAATCATGATTATTATTTTTGCTATTGGATCGGTTTATGAATTCAGCAACCTGATTTGCCTGAGCATCGTTCTTCTTGTATACGTCCATTCACTCGTACTTTTTGCCTTCTTCGTAAGCTCATTTTTCTCAAAAAGTTCATCGGCCTTGGTGGCCACACTTTTGATATACTTGGCCACAGCTATTCCCTTTCTGATTGTGGGTGCGGAAACCTCCAGTGTTGCATCCCAAACGGCTGCCAGTTTTGGAGTTAACTCTGCACTGTTCTACATTTTGGCCTCAGTGGCCACAATGGAGATGCAGTCGGTGGGATTGCAATGGCACACCATGGCCCATACCGCCTCTAACGGCCATAAGCTCAGCATAATGGTCCACATGCTCATCATGTTCACGATCAGCTGGATCGAGCTGCTCATCTGCCTGTATATCGAGGCGATGCGTCCTGGTGACTTTGAAGTGCCTCAGCCATGGAACTTTCCATGCCAAAGTAGATATTGGTGTCCGTTCCGGTATGTATCTTCAGCTGGCCGTGGAAATTCATCACTACATAATCTATCGGGTCAACCGTTTATCAATCTTGATGATCAAACCCAAGAGAATTTTCAAAAGGTACCCTCTAACAAAAAAATTGGAGTGGAAGTCAGAAGTCTTTCCAAGGCTATAGGATATCACACTGTTGTCAAGAGTCTTTTCTTTAATGTGCACGAAAACGAGATTACAGCTTTGGTGGGACATAAAGGTTCTGGGAAGACTACCACCTTATTGATGCTCTGCGGGATTGTGCAACCCACCACGGGAACAGCGCTGATCAATGGACACGACATAGTCACCGAACCGAAATTAGCAAAGGGCTGTTTGGGAATCTGCACGCAGAATAGTGCCCTTTTCAAAGGAATGAGTGCAAGGGATCACATATACTTCTTTAGTCGCATAAAGGGCTACACCAAAAATGAGGCCATGATGGAATCGAATATCTACATTGGCAAGCTTAACTTGGTCGACTGGCAAAAGCGGGACGCCATGAAACTCTCACCAGGGAATCAGCGGCAATTGTCACTGGCCTGTGCGCTTTGCGCCGGCTCCAAGGTGATCCTCTGCGACGAGCTATCCTCCGGCTTGGATCCCGTTGGGCGCCACGAGCTATGGCGATTTCTGCAGAAGGAAAAGCGTGGACGTACCATCTTGCTGACAACCGAACTCCTGGAGGAGGGTGAAATCCTTGCTGACCGCATAGCTATCATGAGCGAAGGACAGATTGTGGCCTACGGCACTTCGGGATACATAAAACAATTGGAATACACCAGCTATACACTTTCCTGCCAGATGGCTCCCAACAGCAAAGCGGATAAGCTGACAGACCTCGTCAAGTTCTATATGATCACCACTACACCGGTGTTCCGGGGAGCGACTGTGATCTACAAGCTGCCACGAAGCAAATTGGACCGATTCCCGGAGTTCTTCCAACAGCTGGAGAGCAATAAAAAAGGCCTCGATGTCGTCAGCTTTGGGCTGAGCGACACAAGTCTGGATGGGATCTACCTCAGTCTGGAGTATTGTCAGGTGCTGCGCTCCAGGGGCGGTGCTGACTCAGAAGAAGGTAAGATTACGGATTTCTATTATTTTTTTTAAAACTAGTATACTTTCAAACTATTGGGGCTTTGCAGATAAAGCCGATTTCGCACTCCAAACTGAGAAGCCAAATCGGACGAAGGAAAGAGCAACCGGCTCACTAGTTAGGTATCAGCAGACGGTAGAGTCCAACTCGAAAGCCGAGCTCCAAAACGATCCAATCCTAAAACTAAGACCGTCCATGTACCCGATAGAAAAATGGAGGCCAAAGAAGCGGGAAAGAGGAAGTTGTATGGCCCAATGGCAGGCAATGATTATAAAAAAAAAGAATTACACATCGTCGCGAGCTCTCGTATTTATTATAATCCTCATCATTCCACTTTTGTATTATGGCATAGTACTTGCGACTGCCAGCTCAGAAAAAGGTAGCCCTCAAACATACATACCACCCGTGCTCCCATTGTCATTGGACTATTATAGCTATGATGACATGATCATCCTGCTCGAAATCAATAAGGACTTGTACAAGGGCGAAGGAGATGCCTATGTCAAATCGGTCAAAGAGCCTGCAACGGTTCAAAGAATAGGCTCAATTTTTTCGTATATACACAAAGCATCGCCCTTAGTGCGCCGAGATATCAGACGTAAATACGTGTGTGGTGCGTCGTTTAACAATTTGTCCACTGTCACAGCCTGGTTCAATAGCGATGCCTTCGAGCACTCGGCACCCATTGCCATGAATTTGGTCTACAATGCCCTGGGAAAGGCGGTGTTTGAAGACAACGATTTCAGTATTAGCGTAAGCAGGGGTGATCTTCATGACTACGTTATCAAAGATAAAGTTTCAGGGAAAAAGCACAGGTCTAAACGGCAGAATGAACCGGACTATGAAGACTATCCGGACTACGATATTCAAGAAAATGATGATAATATCGTTAAACCACATACCTCAACCACACCCCCTAATGACGATTCTATTCACAGACCTAGTGATGGTAACCAACTTGCTGCTGAGATGTCCATCTCGGAAGCCTCTTCAACATTACAGAATGAAAAGGGCAAAAGGAGGCTACTCCTCGGTGCAATAATTACCATAACAGCGTATATAGCCCTGGCTCTAAGCATTTTTTCCGTATTTGTAACGAAGGAGCGAGTGCAGTGTCTCAAATTGCAACAAGAAATTTACGGAGTGACCCTATCCCACTTCTGGTTAACCCACTTTCTTGGCGATCTCCTCATATTTGCAATTTATATGGCGGCCTTAACCATCGCAGTGCATCAGTTAACAATCTGGTACCAAGTGTTTATAATGCTCCTACTTATTGGATTTGCTTGCTTGCCATTTGTGTACCTATGTAGTTTCTTATTCAGGCAGCCAATTTCTGCGTTTGCGGGCAACTTTACGATTCTGGTAGTGACGGGTAAGTACAAATTACTACTAGCAATTACAAATGGCATAATCAGAACAGCAAATAAGATGCACATTTCACTTTTAGTTCTATAATTAAATAACCTAATTTGTCTTTCTGTGCAGGTGGACTACTATTTTGCACTCTCTTCATGTTGAGCTCACTCACGGATGTCAACTTCAGGACAGTATTTGCGATACTTCCAATGTACGTCGGTGCTTTTGGCCTTTTTAAATGCCTCGCCTCGCGTGAATATTGCCGCCGTGAAGTACTTCCGCCGATCAATGATCTTGATTGTAAATTCGGAACGTGTAACGTGTTCTGCGCGTGCAAACGTGAGTACTTTTATTTAACATTATATGTTATATTTTCTTAACTTGCTTTACTGCTGACCAGCCGCTAATAATTGGATTGAGGTCTGGCTACTGATAATCCACTGCTTGGTTGGGCTTTTATTTCTTTGGTTTTCGACCTTTGGATACCAAATTGGCTACAGATTTAAGCCAAAGCAAATGAACCGGAATTGGGATAACTATGTGAAAAACAGTAAAGTTCTGGACGAGGAGAAACGTGTTAGTCAAATCCAGAAGCACGAACATGAGGAGTATCCTTTGATTGTGGACCAGGTTAATAAGAACTACTGCCGCACAAAAGCCGTCCAGTTTGTGTCATTCGCTTTGGGACCGTAAGTATTTAACTAATTAATATCCTAAATAGCTTTACAATACGAGTATAAACAGCGACGACTGTTTCGGTCTTCTGGGCGCCAAAGGAGCTGGAAAGACATCTATTTTCCGAATGATTGCGGGCGACACCAGCATGACCTATGGAAACATCTACGTGAGAGGACACAGTCTCAGGGAACACAGGAAAGCAGCCAAAATGGAGGTGGGCTACTGTCCCCAGGGCGACATGGCACCCAAGTTTCTCACCGGTCGGCAAATGCTGAGGATCTATTGCCTGCTTCATGGAGTGCCGAAAAAGGACATCAAGGCGATGTCCGAGAAATTAGCCATCGAATTTGGCTTCAAGGAGCTACTGGACAGGGAAATTCGGACATATAGTGGTGGGCAGCGGAGAAAACTGAATGTTGCCCTCGCTATCGATAGCGGATCGGTCCTCTGTCTGGATGAGCCGAATGGTAATGTCGACCCAACCACCCGACGATTTATTTGTCATAAGCTGGAGGCTGTAAAAAGGAGCGGCAGACCCATTCTTCTGACCACCCAGAGCCTTGACGAGGCGGATGCACTGTGCTCGACAGTCGGTTTGCTGGTCTACGGCGAGATGATGTGCGTCGGGTCGCTACAACAGGTGCGATCAGAAGTATCGAACACCATGGTGATAAGGCTTAAAGTCAATGCCAGTTCCAGTGCGGAAAAGTAAGTGCCGTGATTTGAAAAAGCATTTTCAGTTAATTATTATTAATTATTAATTTGTTTCCAGGCAGAAAGCCAGCATTCAGCAACTAATGACTGATATGGCGGAACTGCTTCCAATGGCCACGTTACGGTAAGATGCAATTAATTACTTAATGGACGTTAGAAATCTTATCTTGGGTGGTATTCTATTTAAAGGGAAGCCCTTGAAAATTGTCTCATATATTACATAAACATTAATGTTACAACCTTGTCGAACTTGTTTTACCAAATGGAACAAATACGAAATGAAGGAGGACTATTGCAGGACTATTCCATAACGCAGGTTTCCCTGGACGAATTATACAAAATACTAGATGAGGAGGAAGATCCTATGCTCATAGGCTCGACTAATAATAGCGACGGTCCAGATGACAAACAAAGCCAAAGAAGAAATATAGTATCAGATACGGATATAATAATGGGAAAGGATGAACGAAAAGGAGTGGACAAGGAAGATAAAACAGGGCCGAAAAGTAGCGAAAATAATAAACAAGTTATTAAAAGATCTACAACTTCGTCTGAAAGTACTGACAGTGATGAAATGGTAGCAAATAAAGGCGGAAAATGAAAAAAAAGAAAGTGGTAACAAGACAATATGAAATTAAACGTTTTATATATGTATATAATATATACAGTACAAGAAATATTTATATTATATCACACCTCAGCAGAGAAGGGCGCAAAGCAATCGACAGTATTTATATTCATTAAGGAATTTCCGCGAGTTTTCCCGGGTTTTTTTCCCTCATCCTTTTGGCCCTGCACTTAAGCTTTTGGTGCGCCCGGCTGACTTCTGAGGCCAACGGTTGATTAAAATGTCAAATGCCTTGCATATTTTAAATGCCATCGCGCCAACCCCTGAGGAAAATTCATCCGAAAATTGAGGCGCAGGCCGAAAAGCACACAGGCACCATAAAACGGGGCAATTAAGGATAAGAAGAACTCAGCTAAAACCAAGGACGAGTCCCAGAATATGAATGGCGCATACTTAATTGCCTCAGCAGGTGTTTAAGAATTGCGTATATGGGGAAGACAACGTTATGCAATTTGTACCAATATTGTTACTAAACTCGTATATATGTTTATACAAATTGTGCTTACTTTGCGAAATTAATCAAAAAGAAACGGTAAAATATTAAACAATACATTTTCTTATTAAAGCATTTCTGGTGTTAATTTTGTAATAAACTAACCAAATTTTTGTTTACTCTCGCAATGCGATGTCGCAACGTTTACCCTTTGGTTATTACCCAAACGATTTATTAACGATAAAGAAAAAGGTACAGGAAGTGATTAGTTGTATGGAAGCAGTGCGCAGTGTAAAAAAGTTCCAGGTAGACAACTAACTTAAATTAAAGTCCAACTTTTGGCGAGCCCTTTGAAAAATGGCAACCGAAGGGCGAGAGTTTCCCGGTTATCAAGTGTTGGCCAAGTTAGCGTTTGCCGGAGCGAAAAACAAATTGTTGCTGGGCTGCAACCAATGGTGCTTAAGATAAAGCTGGGGAGCCAAACGACAACGATGGCAAATACTAATTTTGCAAGGCAACGCGGAAACGGCGAATGCCCAACTGCGCGAGGAAAATAGGACGAGTTGAGTTCGCTCGCAAAACTTTCTTCAAAACAAAGTGAAAATGGGGAAAAAAAAGAAAATGGTAGCCGAAAAGCAGTAAAAGCGAAAGCTTAAATTAGTCAAGCGCAAAATCAAGACGCTGACTCTTTGGCGCGGCGTAATGTTGATATATTAACTTGTTACTTGTGTGAAGTACTGAATTAATTGTAGTCAGCTGGGGTAACAAATAAATTGCCACGGTCCGCTTTACACATTTTCCATTCTACAGTTCTAAAAAAAAATTGATTCCAAAAACAATTATTTATTTATTTATTTTCAAAAGACTGGCTTATGTTTGCGGCTTTTCCGTTTCATAGTTCGAGTTTTGTTAGTTCCATTTTCATTTATAATAACATTTTACCAGGCTTAGCTGCGGTTATGTTTTTAATAAGCCGACTTTTTGTATTATGCTCTCAGTTTTCTGTCCTTTGGCTCAAGTGTTTCCATGTTTAATGCTCCATATTAATTTATTACAAGAGTTATTGTTTTACAAGGGTATCGCAAAAGGTGCACCACAGTTTCTAATTTTTTACTACCTCCAACTTGAAGCAACTTATACGTTTTTTCACTGCTGTCGGAATAAAATAATAAATCACAGAAAATATATGCGCCCGACACTCTTTCCCTCGTTTCGCTTTTCTTTTTTATTTGTATGTAATGGTCGCTGCATATGAGTGAGTAGAGTGTTCCGGAAACACGTCAGCAAGTTATGGCAGTGGAAGCTGATATACTGGGATCGGGTGAGGTGGCGGCAGCCCAGCCAGGTTGCATGTAATGAGGCACTGATTGGTGCCTGAGAAATTGCCGCTTGGAGAGCTCTGCTGATTATTTTGCGCCATTTTATACGCTCGGGCTCCAACTTGCGAGCTAAATCAAAGAAGTTGACACTTGCCACGCCCTGGTTTTTAGCACGGGCGCATGCATAACTTTTGTCACTTTATGAGGAGGTGGAGCTGGAAGTGGCGGTGGCGTCAAGAACTTAACCTGCATCCTGTTGCAGCTGGCAGGCAAAACGGCGTAGAGCGACCAGACGCGCACCCTGCCTTTTGGCCCATTATGCATAGTAACACTACTTTCTTTTCTTTCTGCCATTTTTCCCGCTGCTTGGGAATTTTCGCAGCTCTGTTTCTCAAGTGGCAAGCGGAGCTGTCTTCCCCACCACTGCCGGCTGCACTTTGCATAACTTTGTTGCATACTTTTGAGCGTGTTTCGTCCCCGGATCGTGTTTCACAGCTCCCATTGGAGCTGTTCCCCGACCTCGCCTGTCCCATTCTACCGCTACCACATTGTGTATTATAAAAGCATAAACGTTGCGCCTGACGTTTACTTAATGCTCGAATAACTCGGGAGCTGGAAAACTTTTCAATAATTACTGCGAAAAACATCATGCAAGCGGAGGCAAAGAACTAAGCAGGTGTGGTTTGATTAGGTTTTAGCCCAAGTTTGGCTTGTGCGATCGAAAGAAATTTGTGAAGTAAAGAAGTGGAAAGTAATAGTATATCGCAGTCATATTAAATTATAGGATTTAACTTTTTATGCTACAAATTTGGTACGTTGCAAGACATATAATTACCCAAGGATTAGAACGCATCTTAGCCCCTGATAAAAACAAATATAAAAAGAAACTCATTAAGATATTAAATTCGTCATGCACAAGGCAAAGGGCAAATATTCGATTAAAGCAGCTTTGCAGTAACACTTCAAAGTATTATAATTTTCAGTTCCGCCCCCCAAAGTCCGCTTATGTGATAGAACAACAACAAGAAGTCAACATCGCAGGGTCTTATCCTTTGAAATCCCCGCCGCCGCCTCTATAAACACGAATATCTCGCCCGTTTAAGCCCGTCAAAGCTGCTGCAATTACCTGTTAATACGCATAAAAATGCCCTAACAAGCGAGAAGCAGAGACTGGAGCCCACTTGGAGCACAGAAAGTCGGGGAATCCCCTGTGAGGCAGCTTTGCCGACAGCGACAAAACGCAATCAGATTAAAAAATAATGCAAAAAGAACCCAGTTTTCTTTTCCATTTGCCGTAACGCACAGCAGTTTTAATCCGCTTTTAATTGCCTGAAATCCAATTGGCGACCTACATACCAACCTGGTTCAAAGTTACTCGCATCCTCTTGCCTTTTGCCTCTGCCTCTGCCCAATCCCAATCTCAATCCCGCACACCCACAATCCGTAGCCCGTAAAATGGACAAGCAATTAGTAAAGTAAAAAAAAACAGAGAAACTAGTTTGTTGAACTGGGCTTGAAGGGGTCAAATAAACACTTATGCCCGCAGTCCAGCTTAAAGGTGGCACATTCAAAAAGTAGGCAACGAAAAGTGCTTCATCCAACCGCCAATGATGAAATTGCCCTGTCCACAAATGTTATATTTCATTTGCTAATTTGGTAGTTAGCCAGTTGCACGTTCAATTGTTTCGTAGGCGCAGAACACTTTAAGTTAATTCTTTTAACAGCAGATAGATGTAAAAACTACAAAAGAATGTTACATAAATGAGCAGCGAAGCCGCAATATTTTTATTGCCCAAGTGTGCAAATTTCAGTGACAAGAAAACCCAATTTCCACCACAAGCTTGGCTCTTTTGCCTTGCTGGTTTTCCCTGCTTTGTCAGTTGGCTTTGTTGACTCTTCTGCCTGCCTGCACTTGACATTATTCACAGGAAGGATAAATCGCCCTGGCTGTTTTTTGTACCAGCTGGACAATGCCGGTAACTGTCTTGAATTGACTTGGCTGTAATCAACGAGGCTTTGCTGTCATATTCTGATTTTCCCCAGAAAGCTGCCGGGACCACTAAATTCTAATTGTAATGGCGTTTTGACAGGTGCCCGCAAAAGGTATTCCTCCCCGCGAAATGGAAAGTGTCACCTTTAAAGTCATTGAAAAGGCTTCAGAATTAGCTTTAAATATAGTAGTAACATTAATAATAAATACAAATAATAAGTGAATTATACAATTTAATTCGGCTTTGAAATTTTGAATCTTTCCTATAAGTGAAGAGTAATTTAACCAAACATTTCAACTTCAACTAGTTCATTTATAAATTGCGCTCCTGGACGATGCTAACCAACCCGCACAAATTTATTATGACCCAGTCTATATGGGCGTTGTCCGGCGTGACAATGATGATAATAAATTCTCGCACTAAAACCTGAGCGACATTCAACAAAATAATTACCAGCATATTTCGAATGTCTCACGGGGCGCACCCAGCCACAATTTATCATGTTGCTTCGGCTCTGGGCCAACTAGTGGGTGAAACGGTGGTTGAACCAGTGGGTAAATAGTGGGTTGCAAGCAGAACGAGCTCCTCATTTCATAACTCAAAAGCCTCGAGAGTCATTTATAAGGCTGGAAGGCGAAAAGTTGTTTTTTCCTGCAAGTGGGTTCGGGTGGGAAACTTTGACTTGAACTTGTTATTTAACACTTTGCAGGCGGGGCGAGCTGACAACTGGGCGTGGTCAGAGGCTGCTAGACTGCGCATATATACGATCATATTAATGCACACGAAGGGCAAGGAATGGGGCATGGAGTTCAAGGGAGGGCTGGTCCAACATGCACGGACACTTGAGACAGTCCGGAGTACTCGACGGGATATTTCGTTTGAAGTGCGAATAGTTTAGGCGAGCATTCGTATCTGCTGCAGTGCAGATTCGTATCTGCCAGTGTTCTCAGTTAAGCATGGCAAACACGTCGTATTAGTAATTAATTACACTTGTGCCAGAGTGCTAGACGGAGGCGGGAGGAGTACGACTTCCAGACTCTCGGTTTGACATGTGATTATGCGCTTTTAGCATCTGTTTGCAAATTGGTACTCCTAAGCACATGTCCTGTCAGTTGTCATCTGTGCACTTCCAAATTACCCAATGCAAAACGTTGAACCAGGCGACTGCAACGACCTTAAGGTGTCGGTTATTTATTGAAATTCGATTTGAACGAAGTCCGAGGCTACTTCCTTTGGATTAGGCTTTTGACCAACCATTTCATACAAGTCCTCACTCGATTTAAAACTCATTAAAACGTTTGACTTAACTTATTTAAGCCCGAGCCGTTTGAAAGATTGCAACCATTTTTTCGGGTAAGAATTTGCAACGTTGCCCTGTAAAGTAGGCATCATAAAGTCTGCGTGGAAACTTTCAGAGTTGGTAAAACTTTAAAGAATGCTGTAGAGGTAGTAGTTCGCAGTCCCCACTCCCCCTCATAACGCTTCACTTGCTCTCATCTTCTTCTGGCTCTCATAAGTTGGCAAGGGGAAAAATGTAAATTCTTCCCGCTAAGCGAATTTTTAGCTTAAAGCGCTTTCAAATGATTTGGCGGAAAGAACCCAAAAAGGGGAGGATAAGGGACCATTATTTAACTTTTCGCTGGATGTTTTCCTTTTTTTAGGCGTCTTGTTACATCTGTCAGCTGCACACCTGAATGGGTGTAACGTTAACACGTGCTTATATAATGGCTACAAGTCGGAAGAAACGAAATCCCCTGTAACGAAAATGCAAACGAAACTTTGTAACCCAGCTAATTGGTTTAAACTCTGCCGGTTGAATAATTTTACTCTTGTATTTCTTAATTTAAGGCCTAATTTGATACGCTACAGCACTGACTTTGATGTCCTTTTAAACTTTGTTTGCCCTTGTCGTATGCAAACCAGTATTCCCATTCAAGACTTTCAGTTTTAATTGAGGAAATCATAAAATGGTGCTGCTACATAGCAACTGAAGAAAATGAAGCAATTAATTTGATTGAAATTGTAATTGTAATTACAATTAACATAAAAGATTCCCATGATCCCTATTTGACTCGTTTTGTAAATTCCGAAAAGGCTTGACAGCATTTCATTTTACAGCCATTTTATTTATTGGCAATTACAATCGCTCAAAATGTTTTCAAATTTATTTTATGCCAAGTTATTTATACAGGCGCTTGCAGATAAAAATACTGTTTCGGTTTTGTTTCGAACTTGATGAATAGAATATGCTTCAGATCTGCGGTTGCCTACATTCAGAACAACTTTCCACATCGGCTTTTGTTACTGCTCCTGGTAATCTTTGCAACATGGATGCAGATGTGACCGCATCAGATTTGCTCGCAGGGAAAACTTTTGCCCAACGACAACAACGGCCAACTGCGGCCATGCCCACAATGCAGTTGAAACAAACAAAAGACAGCAAACAACCGCCAGACGTCCACGGGCAATGGCCACCCACCCTTCAGGGCCAAAAACAAAGAGCTTTTCCCAAAACATAAATATCTGCCCACCCACCGCCCCTTTGGACATGGTCAGGGTTGGGGAAAAGCCTTGAATGGGTTTCGGTCGCGTGGCCTTATTGGCTCATTAGTAAATGAACTGTAAATGAACGGCAAAGCCTGTCAAAGATACGAAACTGGCGGCAAACCTTATCGGAATCCTTCTGCCCGTAATCCCAAACTTATTTGTTTTCAATCGACGTAATCATTGATAATGGACGCGGCTTGAGGTTAGATAATAGGCTTAAAAAGGTTTCAAGTTACCGAAATGTGCAAGAAATGAATTGCCTTAAGTATTGACAAATTTGGTAGAGTACATTTAATTGGGATTAAAGTGTAACTTTTATTTTTAAATACCAATGCTAACAATAGTTTATCTGTATTTGTTTCTTTTTAAAATCCCCGTAATGGCAGGAATTCCAGCTAGCACGCGACACAATCGAAATCATCAAGTGCTGACCCCTGAAGTTCAATAACCCTAAAAATAAGGACCCTTGCAAAATGAACTCGTCGAGTTTGTTGACAAGTTGGCATTTGACCAATTAAACAAAAACAAAAAGCGACTTTACCTTGCGTGGTCAAAGGCAAAACATACACATCACGTAAACTCCTTCCTGTGATTTGGCTAATATGCTGCACGGACTTGACATAATTACCACATTAGGGCTTGAGCTCAAACATAGAAGTCGTTCTAATTATAGTAATCAAACTAAGAGGCAGAGCAATCCATTTTGTGCAAGTGGGCAAGTCCAAAACAGTAGTAGCCAATATGAGATAGATTGAATTTGAATAATATTTCAGATGCGGCAGCTTTTCCCGTACAATTCTTTAATTAAATCCTGATCAAAATTTGACCAGAATTTCATGACAATATCCATTTCCCTGGCCATTAAAACGGCAATGCGATTCCGAATTACACTTCCCAACTACCATTCGTATTTATAAACTATTTCCAAGCACTTAATAGTACTTCAATTGCGCTGCAAATGGCAAACATAATGGTGTCCGCTGATAGCCGATGCGGAGTCACATAAAAACTGGGGGGACAGAGGTGTACGGCCATGTCATAATGTCGATTGGCAAGCATGCCCCTCGATTTGGCCACCTATAGACTGGTACCCCCAGTGAAAAGCTCGTGGAAACTTCTTTCGCAGATAAAACGCGAGAAAAGCGGAAGGACATAAAACCCGGGACAAGTTAAGTGCAATCATGGATTGGTCTAGTCCGCTGCCATGTGCCGTCATTAACGTGGCAACACGTTATTGTTTGAAGGCTGGCGGGTAGGGGCAGTTGGTAGGGGGTGTGGGGATTTGGGGCGACGCTATAACCGCACATAATGGTGGCCCATTTCATCGAGCGGCCAGGAGAACGGAAAAGCATTAGAAGTCTGGGAAAAGCGCGCTTTATATTCGCCATTTACGTGTTGAACATGGAATTTAATTTCTTCGGTAATTAATTGCAATCGTGTTGGCATTAGGTTTAATGCTCTAATTGGGCAGATGTTTGTCCGCTCTCCCACGTGTGTGTTTTGCACGAGTGTGTGTGTGTCCTGTTTGTGTGTGTGTGTCCTGTTTGTGTGTAAGTGTGGGTGCGCGTCTAATGGGGTGTCCGTGGCTTGGTGTGCGTGCCTCCATATCAAATTGTTTGACTTTGGCTTCGCCATTTTATTTGTCAAGTCAGTGGACATTAGGATGAAATGCAATGCTCGCCTAATTGATTTTATGATTCCCTTAATTATCTTGGCACTCTAGCACATTACTTGGTTTGTCTCTGCTTGAATTGAACTAAGTTTGCTTAGGCAGAGCACAGCGGGAACTCATTAACGGAAATTGCCATTTAATTTAATTAAGGTGCTCAGCGGTGGGTCTTATAATGATGAGGTTCCGGATAAAAAAATTAGACGGCGTGAAATGTGTCTTACACGAAACTAAATTCAAATTAACAAATTGGCTTTGTTAGTTTTTCTAATTATTGGTGGGTTATATTCTTTCCAACCAACTTAGAGTGTAAACAAATTATTTATATCTAAGCTTAATTTCTTCTTTGTATTGCTTTAGATATTCTTCAATTAAATTGAATTTAATCAAATCATTTACAATTTAAGCAAATTTCTTTCCCTGAACTTTGACTTTAAAGATTTAATATTGAGATTATGTTTTTTACCCTTTTATAATCGTTATTAGATGCGAATCCATGGCTTACCTGAAAAGACAAACAAATAAAATAATACAAATTAAAGAAATATATTTTCAGTCATTAAATCTGGGTTTGTATTTTAAATTTAAAAGAATATGGATTCCGCCCGGGTCATTTTGTTTGCTGCATCCCAAAGGCGAGTAAACCGAAACCGAGCAAAAAGCCTATTAAGTCCACACCCACTCGCTCAAAAAAGGACAAAAAGGATGCGGAAAGGAAAACAGAGAAAAAAAGACTGAAAAAAGTTGAAGAAACAAATACTGGAAAAAAGAACCCTAAGAAGACCCTTATTATTTTTCATGCCGCTTTTTTTAGCAGGCGCTAAAACGTTAGTACCCGTTTGTGAAAAGCAAAAAAAACCTCAGCCGTCACTCTTTTAAGTTCACAATGTATGTTTTAAGCACCAGCGATCCCTTTATTCAGAATTCATTCGGTTAAAACTGTGCTCTTATGTGGAACTCTGTGTTATTACATATTAATCTAGAATACCAACTGTACACAGCTGGTAGTAACCTATTATCAATTTTGCTCAATTCCCAAATGATGAAAGGAATAATAAGCACAGTGCTAGTAATTACCCAGCGAAAAAGATGATATTGTAGGCGAGCACAGACATTTTTAAACGTAATGTTTCGATATCGGAACATAATGCTTTTAATATTTGGCACAGCCAAGTTCTCAGCTGCTAACAAAATCAAATTCAACTCGAAAGTACACAACAATGTGGCTCGTGCCCCGTCATTAATGCGAAAAGAGTGTCAAAACACACAAAGACCTTTCTAAGCTGCCCCCACGGAAGCCCAAAAACCCTTGAGGATGAAAAGCGTGAAACAAAAGCAAACTGTTCCCTCTACAAGTGCCAACATCAGCGGAAACGTCAACGTTTCGACGTCTACGACGACGCACTTGACGGAAAATTTGGCAAGACCTGCCAAATGTGTGCAATGTGTCTTGTGGCACAGGTGCAGAGAAATATGTAACTGCTTAACACTGCAATACTTAAACCAGTGAAATAGTATGGTTCAGTGTGCCAACTGCCAGATACCCATTACTCACATACTCACTCAAATGCAAGAGGCAAAGCAACTGAGTAATAGTTGTCAGTGCATGAGCAGCAAAATCAGTAGCCGAAGCAGGCCCGGCATGAAATTAGAGGAAAGTAGCTAGAAAAGGATGCTCTGCGGCGATGGGCTGCGGTCCTGGCTGGCAGCTACTTTATGCCTTCCGTGCTTCCTGTGTCATGTCGGTTGACCGCAAAATTAAATTACAAGAAAGCCCCAAACGAACAACATGGCCAGAAAGAACGGCTGCAAGCGAGAGCGAGCAATAATGCAGCCAACTAGGGAAGGAAGACAAGGATTTAAAACGTTAAAGTACGACAGCCAAAGTCGGAACAATAACCAAACCAGAAGCCACGGGAGCGGAAGGACTCGACATGGCGGAACAAAGTTTGGGAACTGTTTCAGCCGAACATGGTAATTACGTGTGTCCATGCCAAACTGACCCCTTACACGTCATCGCAACCGACGATTCTGGGCCAATAGTCCGAATTCGGTTTGGGTTTCGGATTCCTCCCACTCCGGGCCGCTCAATTAGCAATTAGTTTTATTTCAATTCAGTTTACTTAAGTACGAGATCCCCACCCCAACCCCGCCCCGTTCTGCCAGTAAAATGGGGATTTGTCTAACTTTTCCAAGTACTTAAGAGCTTAAGGTAAAAAGTTTTTTGGGTCTTCAGTTTTTGCTTTTCATTTAGGTTTTTTGGGTCACAGCTTTGTCAAATGGCTTGTAAGGGTTGTTGGCCAGGTGAGCATAAAATAAGTTCAAAGGTACATACCCTCAAGCTTACTACCTTAATTAGAAAATATGGCGAAATGGTATTATTATTTTAGTTAATTATTGGCTTCAAAAGCATTTCTAAGCTCTCTAACAATGCATCAACTTTTTCAAATCGCGAAAACTGAGGTAGATGCATCAAAGGTTCTTTACCAAGTGCCTTTCCTGCCAAATTTATACATTTTGCTATAAATTTATGGTACTATAAATAACTTGATTGCATTTTAATTAACTGAAAGCGTTTTTATATCTATTGGATAATCTACAGATAGATATCTTTAAATTCTGCACCGGAAGATAACCTTTTTATACTAGCCGAGCACTCCCTAATTGAGTGGGTCCTTGTAAGAGTCCTCGAACAGCAAGTCATCGGTAGTCCACACCCAAAACCCAATCCCATATGCAGATGTACTATATAAGAGGACGGACAAAAGACTCAAGTTGGCCTTCGTCATCGTCAGGGAATGGGAGCTGGGAAGGAATCGAGTGAGCTGGGAGTGTCGGCGCCATCATTCGAAAAAAGCTGCCACATTGTCGCCAATAATTCAGCGACAACGTCGGCGGTCATAAGCGAAATGATTTATTAGCCGCCGAAGGCGAGAGATATCAAGATATATACGAGTATCTATATCGAAGCCAAACCAACTCAACAAGCCGCTTAACGCGTCCCCACGCCTCTTTATCACATCACACATCACATACGGATGGAGTTCTCGATTCTATCGGTATTCTATCGTATCACAGAGATTTATAATCAGTTGCAATCGGAAAAGCATAATGAATATGAAATACTTGTGTAATTAATGGCACTGCGACGCTGTTTTGCTGTTTTGTTTATTTATCTTACTGCCTTCTTTTTTTGTGGTTTAAGCTTTCTGTCTAGTCGCTGTGACATTTTTATCGCCACAAACGGTTTGCATATGCTTAACACATTTATGCGTTACTTGAGATTTGCTAGCCAACATTTACTCGCTTTTAATGAGTGTGTCTCGTGAATGGAAACGAATATCTGGCGCCAGCATAAATTGTGTACGGATGTTTGCTTTTTGTCCTCCGCCTTTTCATTGTTTTAGGCAGTTGGCGCCACAATGTTCACAATATTGAATGAAAAACAAAAGCGTTGTTGCTGATTTTCAATGGCTTTTGGAGTGTGTACCTATTGCTATTCAAATATGTTTTTAGCTTGTAAGCGAAATTCGCGTGGAGTTGGGCAAATACAATATTGTGGTTGTATTTCTTTGGCACACAATAAATATATTATTTGGTTATCAATTATATTATCCAACCACCGGCTAATTTAATCGCAAAATGTAAATATGTTTTCAATTCGCCAGACGCACGTACATTATTTGGACAAACTTTTATAATAGGGATAATTTAATTATAATATTTAATATAGACATTTTGTTATTATTGGATTAATGTGGAGCAATTGAAGGAGCGCTGTTTTATTTCACTTGTGTAGCCCCAATCTTTATTTGGGCTAATGTAATTCACATTTCCTATCGCCAATTATCTGCTAACAAGTGAACGCAATTCACCAATTTCCCTCTAGCTTGGGCCCAAACAAATTTGCACATTTATCGACTGCATAATTTACGAGCCGTCTAATTAACCCAGCTCGCAACTAAAATTTGCACCCGAAAAGAATGTAAATAAGCCGCAATTATGGCTGCTGCTAATTGAAGCAAAAAGTCGCGGAGCAGACGCAGTTTGCCAGGGAATATTAATGCCCTATGCGGAAACTGTGGAAACTGTGGCGCATTGTAAACTAGGTAAATAACCGGCTCACACACACAGGCCCATGAATATTTCTGGGCCATTATAACAATTACTTGCACTTGCCCCTTTGCTGGCGTGGCCCCAAAAAGGAATTAAATAAAAAGTAAAAAGCAAAAAGAGGAAAATACGGACTACAAAAATTAACCAAAAATAGGAGAAAAGTGTACAGAGGGGGGAGTGAGTGAGGCAAGTCAAACACTCAAATGTTGGGGCAAGGCGAAGGCGCTAAAAACCCGAACACACTTTTGTGGGTAATGGGCTTTGGCAAAGACTGCCTGTCGCCCCATTTTCTCATTTTTCCACAGGCTTTTTCGTACCATGCGGCGTATGTGTAATATCGTGCGGTGCAAGTGCATGTTGACTTTGCTTCCCAGTCTGTGTGTATGTGTGTGTGTGTGTTTGTGAGTGTGAACAAACAACATACACACATGAAGACACGTACACACTGACCTACATCGACGCCTCAGTTGATGCCCGCATTTCCTACAAAAACGAATTTTCCTTACGCAATTCCTCCTTTTTTCTGCTATTTTGTTGCTGCCTGCCAGTCCTTTATTTGGAATTTTCCATCTCGATGGAGGTCAGGGTAAAAGAAGAACCCAAACCGAACAACACATTGCAGGCCTCAACGAGTATTTAGTTAATGGAAATTATTAAAATGAAAACTCTCGCCGCAATAACTCAGCGAACGGATGGAGCCGCCTGTGATGCAACTGCAATTTGTTTTCCCTTTCCACAGGCACCCGTCGTTTTCCCCGCTTGACTGCCGTATCCGGGATCCGGGATCCGGATTCACTGACTTGTAACAAAAAAAATATGAATTTTTTATTGCCGCATTCAGTCTGAAAGGAGGGATAATATTGAAAACGGTTTTCGTTTTCACGCAAATATTTCTGCAATGAATTATTCTTGTATTTCATTTTTCCCAAATTCTGTTCCAATATGGATAAGGTTCTTTACGATGTCACCTGTTCGTGCTTAACGGATTGTTCTTCAACTATTCCTAAATGTTTATGCTTTGTGTCACTTGTTAAAAATGCCTAATTTAAATATTTTATTTCACTTAATGTCCCATGCGCTATTTTTCTGTATCTTTTAGTGCTCCTAGTGCTCCTGCAGTTATGCATTCAGTACGCATAAATATAATATAAAAATACTGAAACAAGTTCTAATATTCATTCCAAGCTGAAGCAAAGTCTAGCTTCTTCCCAGGTTGTTCCATGTCAATACAATCTGTTGGCGAAATTCCGGCTAAATACAATATTTTTCATGAATGGCAGTTAGCATTTTTGGCGCTGCCTTTGTTCTAGCCAACTAAATTAGGCGCATGGCTTAGCCATGGCTGTGGCTATCGTGAGCACACATATTTTAGCCAAAATTACTTTGAAT